AGAGGAGATGATGGGAGATGCCATTATATATATATGTTTCTCATACTGGTTAATAATAAAGCACTGTTGGCCAATAGGAAAGGAAGATAGGAGGGACTAGGAGACAAGGAGGAAATAGGAAGTAGGAGGGAGGAGCCAAGATGGAGAGTCTGGAGAAAGCAGTATGCCGCTGGCTCCCCGGTAAGAGAAATACATAGATCAGCCAAAATGGGTTAATAATTAAGATAGAGCTAGCCGATAAGAAACAAGTAACTGGGCCAACAGTAGTGTATCAAATACAGAGTCTCTGTGTATTATTTGGGGCTGGCGGCGTGGCAGTGGGACCAGACAGGCAGCGGCAGGCGGAAAAACCCGTACACTTTACAGATGGCGCCAACGTGGCTAGTAAGAACTTACTTACACTTAAAATTTAATAGAAGCTTAAAAAAAGGGTTTTAAAAACAAAAGAACAGAGACAATCAAGGTTTCTTGCTACAACATTTTTCTCAGTTGAACTCTTTGCTAGAGACAAGCAGATATTCGCATGGCTCCTTTAAGGGAAGATTCCTTACTTTGAATAAGCGGGGAAAAAAACGCACAGCTTTTAAATAACTCTGCTAACAATTTATTGGTGTGTATGAGAGATGGCAATGGTAGTGACCACATCTCCAAGCCAGCAGCATGCTTTCTGGGTGGCAGCGCAGACCAAGGCGGTGAGCACAGCTTTCTGTGCTGGCCGGTAAAAGTACCTGCCACCATCTTTGGTAAACCGCGGCTGACACAGCTATGACTTTCATTTTAGCAATGTTGTTGTTTACCAGATAAAAGACTTGTGGCTAGACGAAGATAAAGATTTACAGTAAAGACAGATTCATATTAAGAAAAAGCTCTAAAGGTTTACAGTGTGTTTTAAAATATACGTAGACATGAAAAAAAATGGTTTTAAAGAGACAAAGAGGAACTGGGTGTTGTAGCACACGCCTTTAATCCCAGCACTCAGGAGACAGAGGCAAGCAGATCTCTGTGATTTGCAAAGTAAACCTGGTATGCAGAGTAATTCCAGGACAGATAAGAGTTACAAGGAGAAACCCTGTCTCAAAAAATAGAAAAGAAACAGAATAATAAAAAGCCACAGATGGAGAAAATTTGTATACTGTATGGTATTATATTGTCTTTGTATTGTTTGACTGCTGAGGAAACAACAACTGTTAAAACAAATGCTGCTGAATTAATTCAATGTATATATTTTGAAAATGCTTTGACTCCAAAATTTAAGTTCAAGGACAAGTTACTGGGGAAAAGGATTTCTATTTTTGTTTCCACAGAAAATGAAAAGCTGTGGATTCCTTGCAGACTAATGTGGTTTGATCAAGCCAGACCCCCTGAAACAGAGGACCAGGTGATCCTACATTCAAAATAGCTGAACAAAGCAGCCTTGCAGACTACAGCCAAGATTTCTGTGTCTTCTCATGATCCCCCATGACAGCGCCCCCTGTCAGCAGGAAGTAGTTTGGAAAGAACGACGCCCAAATTCCCAAATATTGTTTATAAATGTTTGGTTTCATTTAAATGGACTTGGTTATAAATGGGTAATGATCACAACCAATATTCTTTTAAAGGTAAAAAGGGAATTATGGTATAGATATGAATACTTTGTTTTGTAATGGATTTTCATTTATTGATACAATTTAAGGTCAATTTTGTGATGTATATATTTCTCCTTTTGTTTAGCTATTGTGTTTATATAGTTCATTCAGAAACATATTGTATAATGTACTACAGATTATAGATAATTACCTATGATAGTCAAAGTTTAGAGTTAAGTTAGTTAGGTTTTTCAAGATGCACAGAGATGTATTTGAGATAGATAGGCATTCTTCAAACCTTTCAAAGACCTACAGAATATGGCATTTAAAATGGTTTAGGGTTTTTCTTGACAATGAGACATAATTGTTCCTGGCAACACCACCTGTGTCAGAAAGGAAGATGAAGATGAATATTGAAGAAACTCATTATGGAGTTTACTTCCAATATGGCAAGACTAGCCATTTGGACAAAATACTGCTCTTGTCTGGAATGTTTGACTTTGTGCTGTATAAACTGGACATGCAGGACTCACAGAAAAGTGACTGCTGATTCAAGATGGACATTGCTACAGAGTTCCTGCTTCATGGAAGAGTCTGCGAGACAGTATGCAGGACACAGAGAAAGTGACTGATAAACTGCCAATCCAAGAAGACAGTTTAAAGTTTCCTGCGTTGCTGAAGAGTCTGCTAGACACACTATGGCCTATGGGCTGAAGATGGAAGATTACAAAAGAACCTTGGGTGACCAGGCAGTGATTTGTCTCTGTCATTTCTAGAGCTTATATACTATCCTTCTGTGGTCTTTGAGGGAGTTGAAGACAGATAGTTATGGTTATAGTTTTCCTTAGTATTAAAGATAAGATACATAGACTTTAGACACACAAAGATAGGATAGATGATGGAATATTTTCTTCAAATCTTGCTAAATGTTAGTGGACTAAATATTGTTAACTGTAATTCTTACTTGATAACTGTTGTATAATATATTTTGCTATGTTAAGGTTAAAACCCTTCTTTTTATTTAGACAGAAAAGAGGAGATGATGGGAGATGTCATTCTGTATGTTTCTCATACTGGTTAATAATAAAGCACTGTTGGCCAATAGGAAAGGAAGATAGGAGGGACTAGGAGACAAGGAGGAAATAGGAAGTAGGAAGGAGGAGTCAAGATGGAGAGTCTGAAGAAAGCAGTATGCCGCGGCTCCCCGGTAAGAGAAAAACATAGATCAGCAGAAATGGGTTAATAATTAAAGGCAGAGCTAGCCGATAAGAAAGTAACAGGGCCAACAGCATTGTATCAAATACAGAGTCTCTGTGTGTTATTTGGGGCTGGTGGCATGGTAGCAGGACAAGACCGGGCAGCAGGCGCAAAAACCTGTACACGTTACACTTTCCAGAGATTTTATTATTATATAATAACTTCCCCAGCTTGCCAGCTTAGATCGCCATATCCTATCTCTGCCTGCCTTCCCCATTTGTCATATCAAGCTTATTATATCTGTATTATAAAAGAGAAAACAACTCCATGTGGTCCCAACTTCTGCCTGTAATCATGCACTTCCCATCCAGGCTCTCCTTAAGTCAGCCTTCTCTAGAATGAGCTCAGACTAGGTTGAACCAAATGTTTTTCTTGTGACACACATGCAACAGGTGTTTGCCTCCTCAAGGATGCAGTTTAGAAGGTAAGAGTTGTTTCTTCCACAATCACCCAGTGCAGCACAATGAAGATGTATACAGCAAGCCTGTGCTCAGTGAGGATATATACCGCAAGCCTGTGCTCAATGAGGATGTATACAGCAAGCCTGTGCTCAGTGAGGATGTATACAGCAAGCCTGTGCTCAGTGAGGATGTATACAGCAAGCTTGTGCTCAGAGTCTGCCTCTCAAAAGGACAGAACAGAAATAATTCTAAGCCCTTTCTGTCTTTACATTCTTCTTTCTCCCAGGTAAAGGCCGGTGACTGGAGTCAGTGAGAAGTGTCCAAAGACACAGCAGAAACTAATAAATATCCATGAGAAGAACAAGTCACTAAGTGGCAGGAGACAAGAAAAGATGAAGGAAGAACTTTCACATGTGTGTCACAGAACACCCTCACACCACACACGTGTCACCCTAGCTGAAGGCAGCTCTTAGAGGCTACCCAGGGTACCTGGGATGAAGCCTGGATAGTGGATAACAGGATGAAGCATGAGCACAGGGTTCCAGCATTAGCTCTGCTCTCATCACCTGGGGAAGGAAGTGAAGAGAGCTCCCTGGGCCTCCCGTTCCTTCTTGGTTTCACCACCCTGTCTGTTGGTGGCCCGGTGTGACTTAACCACCAGGGTCCTTCCGTGCTTCTCAACAGTCACGCTTGTAGCTTCCTCCCCAGATGCCTGAACACCCAGGGCCCCAGCACCTCAGCCCTCCGCAGAAAGCTTTTCTTGGCTACAGCTCTACACAGGGACCTTCACTGCCCACTGGCAGAAAAGAATCTTGGCTGTGGAAACTGGTAAACTCCACATATTTTACAGATGAAACTAAACTCCTGGTGACTCTAAATGTGGTGTGAAATGGACAGAAGTCATTCTGCTGATGTGACATGCCTGAAATAACATCACCACCGCCGCCACCCCCACGCAGACACCCACGTCATGGAAAGAGACAGTCCCACAAGTCCCTGTGCGTAGGCTGCTGCCGCCTTCTCTTCCTTACCCTCAGTCCCTGGTCATTTTCTGTATTTTTCTACTTTTACATTTTTCTTTTTCTCTTTTTTCTTGTGTGTGTGTGTGTGTGTGTGTGTGTGTGTGTGTGTGTTTTGTTTTCGTTTTTGTTTTGCGATGCTCCATTTGTCCTGTTGAAAGACAGTCCAAGGTCACACAAAGGCAAAGGATGAATGTCACGGTTCTCAGCCCTGAGACCCCATGCATCCATCAAAGCCCATTTCTAGCAAGCTGCATTGATTCCAACCATTTATACCTGCAGAGGAGAAATGATCAGCAATCTACTGCCCCCAGGGTCAGGATTGTCAGAAATGCCCTCCTGGACAGGACAGATGATAAAGGACATCAGAGACACCAAGTTCCTAGAAAACAGAGAACTTGTTGATTTATTTTTGTGTTTATTTTATTTTATTGTCTGCTTTGCTTGGAGTATGTAGGCAGCCCAGACCCCTAGGTTTCTAGGTTAAGGTAAACAAACAGCCAGTGGATATTGTATTTTTTTTTTTTTCAGGTAACTGTCCTCTACCTCGAAGTCAGCTGGTTTTTCAGCCTCCAGCACTGCATACATACATCCTGCTGACCCCGGCCAGTCAGGAGTAACCTGATCATGCACACACAGACTCCCACCGAACGATCAGCATCAGTGGGTGTGCGTGGGTGTGTGCACGTGTTTATGTGTGTGAACCCGTGTGTTTGTGGGGGACGCGTGTGTCTGCGCGCGCGGGTGTGTGGTGGGGGCGGGCTCTGCGCCCTGGGGGCAGGGCTCCGCAGCGAGAGTGGCAGCTGGACTTGCGATGCTGCGAGGGACAGGGTGCAGAGCCGCAGTGCCGTAGCGGGCAGCAAAGGCAGCCTGCCCTTCCAGCAGCCTAGCCCCTAGCGGAGGCGGAAGACCCGAGGGGCCGCCAACCCTGGAAGCCGCCTGATGTCCCCGCCCCAGAGAGGGCTGCACTGGGAGGAGGACGCCCGGGAGCCCGCTTCGGTCCCCTTATGTCTCTCGGTTCCTCTTTCCTCCCAAGTAAGGGAATAAGCGTCTAGGAGGGAGCGCCCCCGGCAAGCGCGCAACCAAGTGTTGCATGGTGAGGTAAGACCACGAACCAGGGGTCACCAGTTGGGGGTTGCGGGGGAGGGACGCGGCAGTAACTTGGAAAACCTGGGCAAAGCGAGAGCGGGTCCCGCGCCTGGGAAAGGAGATGCAGACGAGGCCCCTGTGCCCATCCTGACGGCGCCACCTGCCACAATCCCGGGCCAGAGGGGATGCGCCAGTGGATTGTGCAGGGTGGGGCCCCCTCCCTGTGCGATCGGTTGGGACGCAAAGGTGTGTGGATGGCAGGCGGTCTTGCTTTAGGCAGTTTGCTGAAGCAACTGGTCAAATGTCTTCTTCCTTCTTGACGTTGGCTCCACGGTATCCAAATCGCAGCACCGGGAGCCAGAGGGCTATGGGGAGCAGGGGATGTCTTTCTGCTGCCTGGTGGCCAGAGAGTCTGACAGTCCCGCGGGGTTCTGAGACTTTTGGACACTCCAAGTTCAAAGCCTCTGGGTGGGGGGTGGGGGTGGGGGGCTTAGAGATAAGACGAAAAGAATACAGACACCTTGGCAAATAAAGGGAGGAGCATCAGTGGAAACCTAAAGCTGACCTGTTTCTTTTGAGTCACAAGACCTGTCTGTGTGTTTGTATCTTAAATAGGGTGTGCATCCAGAATCACCTGTGGGGCTGTAGGGAGTTAAAAAACTGCATCTGACCGCTTCACCCTGTATCTTCTGATGTCCCTTTTCTTGGGACTAATGGATTAGAATTTGAGGAGGGGGCTGTGAACTTCTTTAAAAGCCCTATATGTGATTCTGAGGGTCCGCCTCCATCCCTGCCACAGTTGCAGGGAACAGGGGAGAATCAGATGCACGATCAGTCCTGCTGTGCACTTCAGGGTAGCAGAGAGATCTCAGTCTCAGGGAGGGGGATGTCAGGATGGTCTGCTCAGGGACGAGGTGACTTGTGAAAGAACCACAGTGGCGTTTTGGAGTGCTGTGTGAACCCTCAGGGCTTACTTGTCCAGGCTGCTATGTTAACTGCCTGTGCCTCATTAGCATACAATGACCTCCCTATGGGGAGGAGAGCTGTTTGTCATGTTTTCAAATCAGGGCCTTGAGGGACCCATCATAGGTCTGTAGGTGTACACAGTCACCTCCAAACATAATGAGGAGCAGTAGCTAGACACTAGACTTTGATAGCTTTGTGCCTGGGATTCAGTATTTATACAATGCAACTCCGGGAGCCACTTGCTGGAGAATAGGGTCAATGAAGGGCTGAAGGATGTTGGTTCTCAGTGCTAACATCAGGAATCAAAAGCACACACACACACCCTTTATAATTATACCCTTCTCAGTCTAGGGGTGTCCCCAACCATGGGAAGGTACTTCTTGTTTAAAGGGCTGTATTTGACAGAAATTCCAATTTGAATATAAGTTATACTCATTAAATAAAACAGCTGTAACTAAGCTAATTTCCTGTGGTGTTTCTCATCTAAGCGCCCCCACCACACACATGCACGCACGCACTGTCCCTTTAACATTTAACTTAAGCATTCTAAGTGTTATTGTTTGTGAGAGAGGTCTGGGGATGGGAAGGAAATAGAAGAATGCTCCCCACTTTATATGTGTGTGTGTGTCTATATCTTCCCATATGGTCTATGTCCTCCCATGTGCATGCACATGTCTCATGTCTCTTTGTGTATATGCCCTGTGTGTATACATGTCCCATGTCTGTGTATGTACATATTCCATGTCTGGGTATATATGCCCCATATCTCTCTGTTGTGTACATGTTTCATGTCTTTCTGTGTTTATATGTCCCCCCCATGTATGTATACATGTAAGTGTGTGTGGTGTGTGTATGTGTGTGTGTGCATGTCTCTGTGTATGTCGTGTGTGTGGGGTGTGTGTGTGTGTGTGTGTGTGTGTGTGTGTGATCCTCTATCACTTCCCACCTTGTTTTGGAGATGGGGTCTCATTAAACCCAGGTCTCACTGATTCAACTGGACTGGCCATCAAGCTTGAGAACCTTCCCATCTCTGTGTTCTAGGTGTTGGACTACATAGAGGCCTTGCCCAGCTATGTACATGGGTGTACACGGATGGGAATTCAGATCTCAACACTTCTGCAGCGATCATTTTACCCATATGCCACCTCCCTAGCCCCCCCTTCACCTCCTTTTTCTTTTTTTTTTTTTTTTTTTCTTAACCTAGTCATTTGTTTAGATCAATCAAAATATAAGCAGCTTGCACTGTAGAGTCTGGGAACTGGAAGAAATTCCTATGATCATCTATCCCAGCTTCTCCGCTGCCCACCCACCTCCCCACACAACACCAACAGCTGAAAGGCTCCCCCAGCCCTGACCTGGCCTCCTAGGGGTCCAGCACATATGAGACTCTGTGTGAGTGTCTGCCAAGGCTGGTTCCAGCTCCTCCCCTGAAGGAGGAAGTGCTGTTTCATTGTGGGTAATGTTGTTGTTGTTTTTTTTTTTTTTTTTAGTGTGTGTGTGTTTGTGTGTGTGCAGCATTATGATATACTCTTAATATAACAGTAGTTCCTGCTCATTGCAGAAAATTTGGGAAGTTGAAAGTAAAAAATTATTGCCCGTGTTTCCTACCACCAAGATCCCACATTTTTAAATACATTGACATATTTCTCTTCTGTCTATTTTTGTGCCTGGAAATCATACACTCCATAGAGGGCTAGCATTTGTAGGTAACCTAATAAATGTACTTTGCATGGTGTTAATCATTATGTCATTTAGTCCTAGGAAGTCCCTCTGAGATAGGTGTTATTATTATCAACCCCATTTTTCTAGGATGGCATAGTGTACAGGTGACAGGCTCTAGTGGCAGAGCCCAGTGCAAACCCAAGCTCACTGACTATGATGTGAGGTCCTATCGCTCCTCTCGATTCTTGTTTTGTTTTTCCTTAATTGGTCTTGTAGTGAGCATCGCTCGCCAACATCATTTCCCAGCTGTGTATTATTATACTGTTAGCCATTTAACTCGTGTGCTCTCCTCAGCAACTACAAATAAGTCTTGGCGAAACCTTTACCATGCACATTTCCAGTTCCTTCTTCCGGGCAGATTCCCAGAAGGAGAATTACCAAGCCAAAGGGCAAGACTATTTGGAGGTTCCTTAAAGGTACACAAGAAGCCACTGCTCCTTATAGGTACAAAAAAGCTTCACCAACTTCCATTTCCCTAGAGGCAGCTCTACCACAGTCTAAGTAGATACCCTTTAGCTACTCAAGAACTATTCAGAGTTTCACAAGACAAAGCCACATACAAGAGCATTCACAGCCTGATGGGAGACATCACACATGCCATCTAATTTATCCACTCAAATATGGATGTGGAAACTGCTTCATATAAGGCTATTCTTTCTGCTGTTGTTTTCTGAAACAAAGTTTCACTAATGTAGACCAAGCTAGCCTCAAATTCCCTTCTGCCTTGACTTCGGGAGTGATGGGATTACAGGCCTCTACAAAAATGCTTAGCTTTGAAACTGTACCTAGCTTTAGTAACTGTGGGCTACACAATTCTTTGGCTGGGCATCACATACTTACTTGGAGCAAATCAAACTATTGTATAAAATATATAAATGTATATAATGTCCCACATCTTCACACAGTGATTATGGTAATCTTCACCCTTATAAACATAGCCACATAGCCAGGCTCAATAGGTTCCCATTACTCATAGCTTCTTCATATTCTGGCCAGATTCACAGAGCTATTTGTTTACATCAAGTATCAGAATCCCATAGCAAAACAATCATTACTTATAAGTAGCAGAGTTCATCTAATCAAATAACAGCAACACAGCCCAGAAAAAAAATCTAATCAAGATAACTCCAGATAAGCCAGTTTTTAAGAGGTTATGGTCCGTTGAGATGGCTCAGCAGTAAAGCACCTGCTGTGCCCATGTAATAATGGAGACCAAGTTTAGATCACACCACTAACATAAAAAAGAGAGAGGCATGTAGTATGTGCCTATAATCCCAGTGCCAGGGAGATGGATAGAGGAGGGTCCCTGGGGCTGAGTGGTCAGCCAGTCTGGCTACATCAGTGAGCTCTGGGTTCAGTGAAAAACCAAGACTCAAACTATAAAGTGAGGGAAGTTTGAAGAAAAGAGACTTCCAACCACACACACACACACACACACACACACACACACACACACTTATGCAAACACACACATATTCATGTACACACACAAATGCATACACATACCTATGTATACACACCTATGCACCACACACACCAAGAGATACTCATCACAAAACTATCCTCAGGTCAAAGAAAGTGTGACCAGCAAAGAAGAAACCCAATCAGATACCAACATCACCACCACTACCCCACACAAAGGCAATTTTAAAAGAAAACGAATTGGCCCTGGTCATGGGTTTCCTTTAGAGCCATGTTTGCCTTGTACCTACCTCTACTACCTGCAGTTGGCTTCATAGACCTATTTTGTTACACGTGGAATAAACAATGATTGAGTCTCACTATAAAATAAACGTGTGCAAGACTCAGCTCGGGTCCAGACAGATCCTTCTGAAAATCTCTCCCCTCCTGTGGGGAAGAGAGATGTCTCAGCAGCCCAGAGCATACACTTACCTTGCCATGGTGAAAACATTTCTTTCCTATGTCCTCACAAGCATGCAAGCTAACTGAGGGCAGGGCCATACCTAAATTTCTGATACATTCCCAGAACTGAAGTTTATGCACAGGTGACAATTCAACCGCATCTACTGAATATGGGAATAGACAAATAAGAATGTCCAGGGCACTGTTCTGGGCACTTCGTGCACATTTCCTTTGCATGGGATCTTCCTCCTACTCAGGCCAGTCAGTCTCAGAAATATGCCTGAGACTTACCTAGAGTTCTGTTGTTTGTTTTCACATACCCTTCTTCCCAGGCTTATTTAAATCTTCAGAATAAAACACAATTACAGTGGGACAGGCAGCTTTTGGTGGATGCGCTGGAGAATATACAAAAAGAAAACCTCCTTAAGTGTGAAGAGTCAGCATCCTAGAGTGTGAACGGG